AGAAAGAAAGAAAGAAAGAAAGAAAGAAAGAAAGAAAGAAAGAAAGACATTTATATTGCAGGATCTAATCTGGCTCAGTCACTGGGACCAGCGGTTTAGTCTTCCGAGCCCATCTTCGGGGAACTTCTTTCTAGCAAAATGTGTCATTTATATATAAAATTTATATCCCACTGCAACTAGAACTGGCTAACATATAATATATGAAAAATAATAATTTATATAGTACTAAAAAATCTTTTTCTTCTATGATTTCTTTTGCTGCTGTTGCCTTCGCTATTTGTTTCTATATCCCATCTATTCTTCAGTTTCCTCTTCAGGTAAAGCTTGATTTAATAACTATAGATTGAGCAAGAATAAAAATCCCCATAATGATAGAGATAAATGAAAGAAATCTCATTTATCATTTTTATAAAAATGTAACCTTATAGATGCTTTGGTATATATAATCTTTATGGCAATTATTGACATATGCTAAACATATGCAAAAAACTAATTAAGCCTGAAAGATTAGTTTAATTTGAAGTTTAATTATACAGGTAATACCATGACATAATCACGGTCATAATTATGAAATGGATGGCATTGGATTGCTCTGTTTGGTCTCAAGTAAACATTTGAAGTGCCCTCAAATAGCTATCACTTTGTATAAAAGCCCAAATCCAAGGGGCAGACTTCTTAAAGAGTTCACAGCATTCTGGGAAAATATGAATGATATTATTACTTCTTGGATATGACAAAATCAGTTGCATAAAAAGCCTACAATCCACATTTACTCAGTTTGATTTAAATATTGCCTCAATTTACTGAAATAACAGCTTGAAATGAAGCTATACTTAACTTGGACACTCTTGGACAGGCAATCTTCTTGGATAATACTTTTATATGAATTATTTATATTCTCTAACTAGTAGTTACTTCAATTCAATTTACCCTAATGGATATTTAGGTATATATTTAAATATACATTAATGTATTTGGTTCATAGTTGCTACTTCATATTGTAGCTGTAAATGTCTATAAACTTGATGTGCCAATTCAGTTTTGTACGTGTTCATTATAAGATATTAACTTGCACCAATGAGGTAAAAAAAATCAGATCCTAATAATCAATAGTTGTTGTGGTGACCAAATTCCAGTTGCTTGCATTTCACACTTCCATGAAACCTTCCTTCCATCCATCCATCCATCCATCCATTTCATTGCAGTATAACAAGGACCTATTTTTAATAATGTTGATTTAGCTAGTGAGTCTTTAACAGAATTTAGATTAAGTACACATTTGATTTTTTGGAACAGATTATTGGACATCCTCAGTATGCTGTGGATATTGGAACCCATATACCTGCATTGCCAGTGCAGGCGTCTGCCATTATATCACCACCATTGCAATTGCAGCCTGAAGCAATGCTACCCCGTATTGCTTCAGATGGACTTTCACAAAGCAATCTTGGCACAACTAATTCAGCAATGTTGGCAGATCATGGACTGCCCCTTCAATGCTCTGCTTACCCACAATCTCAGTCAGACAGTCACCAGCTTCCTGGCCAGCAGGTTCCAACCACAGGTCCAGTTTCAGAACCTCCTCAAGAGGTGGTATGTATTCTCAAGTGCTACTAACTATAACAAAAATCATTAAGTTAAAAGAGCTGTATTTCAATTTCATGGGTACATCCTCCAAAACTCACTTTATTTTCTGTTTATTTCACTATCTCCAAATTTGAGTACTTTGAAATCACTTAATTTTTTTATTCCTGTATTTGTTGTCTTTCCACATCTTTTCTTGCCCTTAACTTTTGTTTACTTAAAAGAGTTCAGTTTTCCCAGATAGCAATAATACATGCACTGCAGTATATGGACACTCATGAGAACCAGTTTTGTCTAGTGCAGGGCTATCAAACTCGCGGCCCACAGGCCAGATGTGTGTCACGCTGGCCATGCCCATGCCCGGTTTAGCGGAGGGGAATAAAGTCCTGATACGTCATGGGACACTGCCATGACAATGCGAGTTTGACATCCCTGGTCTAGTGGGTAAGGCACCAAGCTAGAAATCAGGAGACTGAGTTTTACTCCTGACTTAGGCATGAAAGGTGGCTGGGTGACTTTGGGCCAGTCACTCAGGCTTGACCAACAAGCTGGTTGGACAATTCCTGTTGGAACCAATGAATCAACACTCAATTGATCAAAAGAAAAGTGGTCCCCGCACTTGCAGGAAAATGCTAGGAAGAAAAAGAAAGTATATGGACATTTATACCTATGAAGAGGGCTGAAATTTTGTTAGATTTTAGCTAAAACCTGATTCTCCTGATATTGCCAGCTAACATTTTGTACCGGGGCAGTACATGATAATTCTTATTGCCTCAGGGTCAATGTATCTAGTCTCTAACAGCCTCAGGGTCAATGTATCTAGTCTCTAACAGCCTCAGGGTCAATGTATCTAGTAATTTGCTCAGAGAAATTCTGCTCCAAAAGATAATTTGGACTGTTGGCATAAACCTGCCCAATACTTAATTCTAAACTGTTCAAATGCTCAAAATGGCTCTGTTGATAAAGTGAAAATGACTATACACTGATATCAATCTTCAAAATGTAACAAATTTAGATTAAATAATTATTTCTTCTTTATAATGTAGGAGCAAGCAGTACTGGAGAAGCAGCAGTCACTGTCACAGAGCTGTGAAAGGTACTTTTTCTATTTGTCTATAACCTGGCATAAAGTTCTCAAACCACTTGCAAAATTACATCAATATCTAGTAAAAGAGTAAACAATCTTGAGTAATTTCTAAAATGCATACTCATTTTGTGATGGCAATTATATCTCTTTTTGTCTAAGCTCGTGATGGTGATGATGAAGTGCTATCAAGTTGGTGTTAACTTTAGAGCCACATGGATATGGGTTTCCCCCCCCCCCCAGAATCTGTTTACCCAGGTCCCCAAGTAATAACACATAACAGATAATCAGAGTTGGAAGGGACCTTATAGGTCATTTAGTCCAACCCCCCATCCAAGCGGGAGACCCTACACCATTTCTGACAAATGGCAGTCCAATCTCTTCGTGAAAGTCTCAAGTGATGACGCTCTCACAACTTCCAAGGACAAGCTGTTCCATTGGTTGATTGTTCTCACTGTCAGAAAGTTTCTCCTTATTTCCAGGTTAAATCTCTCCTTCTCCAGTTTCCATCCATTATTCCTTGTCTGGCCTACATACGCTTTAGAAAATAGCTTGACCCCTTCCTCTTTCTGGCAGCCCCTCAAATATTGGAAGACTGCTATCATGGCTCCCCTCTTCACTAGACTAGCCATGCCCAGTTCCTATAACCATTCTTCATATGATTTAGTCTCTAGACCCCTAATCATCCTGGTTGTTCTTCTTTGTACTTTTTCTAGAGTCTCAACATCTTTTTTATAATGTAGTGAACAAAACTGGGTATGGTCTTACTAAGGTTTTATAGAGTGGTATTGGTACCTCCCTTGATCTTGATTGTATCCTCTTTTAATGCAACTTAGGATTGCATTCGCTTTTTTGGCTGCTGCTGCACACTGCTGGCTCCTATTTAGCTGGTTGTCCACTAAGACTCCAAGATCCCTCTCACAGTTACTGCTATTGAGCCTGGTTTCACCCAGTCTATATGTGTACTTTTGGTTTTTCTTGCCTAAGTGTAGGACTTTACTTTTCTCTAAATTGAATTTCATTTTGTTAGATACAGCCCAGTGTTCAAGTCTATCAAGATCCATCTGGATCTTGAACCTATCTTGTTTGATCTGGCTCATTGGAAGTACTGGGTGGCTGCAACCTGCCTGCCTGCTCATCCCACTGTCTGTCTTTGGTTGTTGATGGCCACTTTAGAAAATAGCTTGACCCCTTCCTCTCTGTGGCAGCCCCTCAATATTGGAATACTGTTATCATGTCGCCCCTGGTCCTTCTCTTCACTAGACTAGACATGCCCAGTTTCTGTAACCGTTCTTCATATGTTTTAGTCTCCAGTCCCCTAATCATCCTGGTTGCTCTTCTCTGTACTTTTTCTAGAGTTTCAACATCTTTTTTATAGTATGTTGACCAAAACTGGATGCAGTACTCTAAGTGTGTTCTTACTAAGGTTTTATAGAGTGGTATTAGTACCTCATTTGATCTTGATTGTATCTCTCTGTTAATGCAATTTAGGATTGCATTGGCTTTTTTGACTGCTGCTGCACTCTGCTGGATCATATTTAGCTGGTTGTCCACCAAGACTCCAAGATCCCTCTCACAGTTACTGCTGTTAAGTCTGGTTTCACTCAGTCTATATATGTACTTTTGGTTTTTCTTGCCTAAGTGTAGGACTTTACATTTCTCTACATTGAATTTCATTTTGTTAGATATGGCCCAGGGTTCTAGTCTGTCAAGATCTATCTGGATCTTGAGTTTATCTTCTTGGCTGTTAGCTATTCCTGCCAGCTTAGTATCATCTGCAAATTTGGTAAGTTCCCCTTCTATTCCCTCATCTAAGTCATTAATGAAAATATTGAAAAGTACTGGGCCTAAGACAGAACCTTGGAGCACTGCTTACTTCCTTCCATGTAGACTTAGACCCATTAAGGACTATTCATTGAGTACAGTTCGTCAGCCAGTTGTGAATCCATCTAGTGGTGATGCTATCTATTCCACTTTTTTCTAGCTTACTAAGAAGTAGGTTGTGGCCTACTTTGTCGAATGCCTTGCTGAAATCTAAATATATTATGTCCACAGTATTTTGCTGGTCTACTAATTTAGTTATTATGTTGAATTCTTCAGGTCTTTCAATATAGTTTAATATATCCATCACTGTTATTGCAATCAAGTCAATAAATTTTACTGATGGTCTTCTTTTTTGTTTAGGTCAATCTTTTCAATAATTATAGGTCTAAATGAACCTTCGTTGTTGTTCTTGGCCTTACTTCATCAACAGTTAATAGTTTGAGAACAAACATCATAATAGATGTTATTGTCCCTTCTGCTTTCAAGAATCACCTCTCTTTTTCCTCTTCTCCTGATGGATACATAAAATTAAACTGATGGATATGCAGTATCTGACTATAAGACTGAATACTGTCATTTCTCCTTCAAATTAAACATAGTATGTACTGCTGCATAATTATCATCCTTCGTGGCTGCACATCCCTTTTTGCATGGGAAATAAGAAATAGTAAGGAAGCTGTTTTTCAGACAGCCTGAAAGCCTTCTACAAAATCTCAACACCATTTCTAAAAAAATGTTTTGAGACACAGAGATCTATAGCAGAAAGGAAGAATCTATAAACATGTGTTTCCCCATTCAATTAGTTGAATTTCTCAGCTAAATCAAAAATCTCTTGTGGAAGGAAAAGGCTTTCTCTCCATGAAGGATTCTAGAGACAGCTGCATGGACGAAACTTGGTGGGAACTTTAGGAGAAACATTTCAGTTTAAAGAAGAACTTCCCATTGATGAAACAAGTAGTTTAAACAGAGACTGGGGCCAACTCTTTAAGAACATTGAAACTATATTTTGCATAGTACTTCCTTCAAAGAACAAAGGCCACCACTCCTCCACTTATTTCTTTAGAACACTTTTATGGAAGGTACCAGAGATATTTCATATAATGATTTCAAAGGAAATTATTATTTCCTTTTCTACAGATCTAGAATGCTGGAGAAACTGAATCAGTTTTTTTAAAATTGTTAACATTAGTGGTTTCAATAGAAGTTTGATTAAATTTGTGCCCGTTACATTTTACTTTAGTTTAAGTTACTTTACTTAAGTTACTTTATAAAAGCCATTATTCCCAGATTCTTGCATGTATGTAGTAAAATTGTATAAATTATATAATTATTTAAAAACCTCTCTTTTATCTAGCATCATTATGATGTTGGATAAGGTCAATCTTTGCTGATAAATGTCTGATAAATTAGTGTTCTTTGTGGGCTTTTAAAGTAGGTCTGTATGCTAATAATGTTTTGTCTTTTTTTAATTCCTGCTTTGTCATCTTACCACAAAAGTTATAGGAGTCCTGATGTTGCTTCTGGAAAAGAGATGAGTGACAGTTTTGAAGGAACAAGTGGAGGTGGGAAACAAGAAGGAAAACCTTCAAAGAAACACAAAAAATCAGCACGTGCTCGTTCACGCCAGGAAAAATCCAATAGGCCCAAGCTTACCATTTTAAATGTAAGACTACTTCCTTTCCCTAGTTTTAACCTATCAATTTTATGGTATTAAATACAATGATTGGCTCTTTTTACAGGTGTGCAATACAGGGGATAAGATGGTGGAATGCCAACTAGAAACACACAATCACAAAATGGTCACTTTTAAATTTGATTTAGATGGTGATGCTCCAGAGGAAATTGCTACATATATGGTAGGATCTTTTCTTGGTTTAAGAATATTAAAATAATATTGACATTTCAGTTTCATAAATTGCATGATAGTACTATTTGTATAGTTACAAAAATATTTCCAGTGTTTTGGAAATTAACTGTTTTTAAGTAAAATTAATTTCTGACTAACGTTCCTGTTAGTCTATGCAAAGGGGAATTAGCAGGGGTGGAATCCTACCAGCATAACAACCAGTTCGGTGAGTGCATGCTTTGCACACTATTTACAAATTACCAGCTCCGGCAAGCATTCACCTTCTCCTGCTGACGAGCGGCACTCAGGTGTGCCATGCAAAGCAGCTTAGGAGGAAAAACCAGGGAATAAAGTAGAGCCTAGAACCCGGGCGGGTAGGTGGGGCCAAACAGAAGACCTGAAGATCATCACAGCAAACCGGGTCGGTGTCAGCTGCTCTCTGGAAGCTCTCTATAGAACTGGGCCAAACTGGTAGAATCCCATCCCTGGGAATTAGTTTAGAATAGTTGTTACTTTAACAAACCATAAGTGAACCACTACTTTTAATATTTGTTATTTGGAACACTTGCTGTGCAATTATAGCCTTCTGATTTATTGGTAACAATCTGTTGTCTCAATTAATTGGCTCTAGTAAAATCAAAGCAATTTAATCGCCTTCATGATTCAAGTTTTAAAAAAATATTTTTTGTCTATTCATATAGGTTGAAAATGAATTTATACTACCAACTGAGAAAGAGGTATTTATTGAGCAACTGAAAGAAATTATTGACAAGGCAGAAGATATGCTTAGTGAAGATACTGAAGGGGAGCGAAGTTCTGATCAAGGCGTCAGCCCTCAGCAAGATACCTACAAGCTTGAAATCAATGAGGTATTTAAAAAAAAACAATAAAATAAATATAATATTTAATGTTTCAACTGCTAAATGTTTCAAACAATAAACTTTTCAAACAATAAATGTTTAACATAACTTACTTATGTCCTCCAGAAGTTATGGATTACAACTCCCACCATCCACAGTGAAATAAACCATGCCTGTTTGGGATGGATTGGAATGATGGGACTTGTGGTCCAACACATTACTCCCATTAGCTAGCATGCAAAGAAGTATTTAATTATTTTTATGCTAGAATTTTGGGTTTTTTGGTGATGAATTTGAGCAGATTCCAAATGGCAATACTTTGACATCCTTTAGTAACATTCTTCTTTCATTTTAAATAGGAGAATCGCCAATCCCATGCAAGAACACCCGTCTACCAACAGAATGGTAAAAGTGTTTGTTTGAATATGCATCTGTATGAAGGCAGCATATCTCAACCTTAACAGCTTGTAAGATGTGTGAGCTTCAACTCCGCAAATTCTCCCAGACAGGAAGTAAATTTCACACATCTTAGAAATTGTTGAGGTTGAGAAACACTGCTGTAAGTTAATACTTAATTATACTAATGACATATTTTAAGATTGTGTCAAAGTCAGCCAGCCAATAGTCACTGCACTGAACACACTAATTTGCTGTGACACTGCATTTCTTCAGAGATGCTTTTTCATTGTTCTAGGCCAATTGCTGTGAGAAGAGCCTTGGCAGAAAATAAAATGTGAAACTTAACAAAGCCTATGAATAGCTTTACATATTGGACTTCAAGTGTTAATCTCCCAGAATGAACTTTGGTCATTAATCTTCATTTGTTTTATTAACAGACATTATTTTTAAATGAGGTATCTGTCAACTCTGAAGCAAACCTGGCTGAAGCCATCTGCCTCATGGTTGCCATCGGCCATGAGAAAGGAAAGGGAGAGGGGAAGTAGATAGACGACTAACTGTCACAACAAAAAGTTTTCCGGTGGGAACCAAGGTCATCTTAACAGATGGCTGTTGAAGGAGGAGACCAAGCAACCTGCCAACTATATTCATTGGACAATGTGACTGGTGACATCTGGGAGGGGGAACTTTTGCTCTTTTAATTAGGTGAAAACCGTGGGAACTTTTTGAGTTGCTTTTCATTAGCTGTGCTGTATGATGTATCCAATAAATATGTTCTTTGAGGAATCTACCTGCCTCGGAGTTCTGATTTCAATGGGTGCGTTACTTGGAACACTGACAGTATCACATTATATTACATTATGCAATGTAATTCAATACAGTATGCAGTAAGGGATCTTTGGCTAATTGTTGGTACAAATGTTTCATCATTTTAATGTTTCCTGTCTTTAGTTCTGCATACTGGGAAACGTTGGTTTATCATTTGTCCCGTTGTGGAAAATCAAGCTGACGAAGTACCAGAATTCTCATCTCATGCACCTCAAAGTGCAAAGCAGTCTGAAGCCCCAGGTATCTGTGAGGTTTTGATATTTTTAAAAAATAATTTTCAAACTACTTTTAAGGGGTAGGAAACAAGGAAAAATATGTACAAACCCATTCATTAATTTATGCAAGTATATATACGTGCTTCATTTTTCTTCTCAAGTGGATGCTTACACAATTCTGGGTTCAACTGCCATTGTAAATAAAGAACTATCTGTATGGCTAATAGTGATTAGTATGCAATGTACAAAAAAGTTATATATTATAATCAAAGTTGAAACTAATCAAAAATTAAAAGTCTCACGAAAAAGATGTTATAGAAGACTAAGGATAAAATGTAATTCTTGGGACATTTGCAGATGAAGGACCTCTGCTAATTGCCTTGGAAAGAGAGACATCTTCAGAAGGTTTCTTCTTCAGAAAACTCTGCACAAATCATAATGGGAGAGACAGTTCTTCAGATAATAAAATTTTGAATTTTTAGAATTTTAGAGATTAACACAATTGCACAAATTATCCTCTGTGTACAAGTTTGAACTAATGAGACCCCAAGTTTACAATCTATCTGCCATCTTCCATACCTTTACAGTGTTTCAAGGGCATCTTCACATGAAATATACTGCAGGGGTGAAAACAGGATGTAACTGAAGTGTGAATCTGGCTCAGAAAGGATTGTAGCTGGTGCACCAGCTGCAATTACACCACCACACTTTTGGCTACAGCTACTATGTGTGAGTCATATTGTCAAAATGAAGGTGTATGCATTCAGGATGAATGCAGTTCCACATAAAAATAGTTATTAAACTATGGGTTGGGCAAAAGTGGGTGCACAAAAAATTTAAGTTGCTCCCATTCTACCTAAAGAAATCAACACCTGTCTGGTCCATGCAACTCTACAGCAAGTTCTAGCAGAGCACCTTTAAAAAATATTGTATTGCCACTTAAAGTTCCATTAAAATATTTTTGCATTGATCAGTCCACCACCAAAATTGAAGAACAGGTTGGGAAATAAGATCAGCATGCTAAGATCAAATGCTGAATGGATGAAAGAAAAGCTGAGGGACAAAATGACAAAGGAATACCTGAATAATTCCAATAGTAATAGGTGTCTTGTGTGCAATTCTAAAACATCTGGAGCATCACTTGAACACCATCATCACTGACAAACCATCATCAATCAATTGCAAAAGGCAACTTTGTTTGGAACAGCTTACATCCTGCAACAATGCAGCAACAATGAACATTATTAAACAACAACATCTACCTCCCTCTGATCCTTGGGAAGGATTTGATAAATGGACAAAAATGTCAAATCCAGTCTAAATATCTGGCTTATTGTGTGATCAACCATAATAATATTGGGCAGCAAGATGGACTACAAACAAACAAACAAATTAATTAATTGAAGATAGCTAGTTACAAACACAGAAGTACTGAGAACAAAATTAATTCTGAAAATGCACATATTTATCTCCCAAACCTTCTAGTTTAGAAAATACTTTTAAAAAATACAAGAACACACAACCACACTCCATTAGTTATCAAAGTGATAGTGTCATCCTATAGCATGTAGATTCTAGAAAAGTCAATTATATGTTCATGATAGAATGAGAGTAAAAACGGCAAAAATATCCATGTTTATTATGAAATTAATTTTTATCTTGTTGGACCCCTTGAAGGGTATCAAATATTCGCAACAGTCTGGGTACTGCATTTTGAGAACTGCTGTTTTAGAAGAAAATATTTCTTTCAATTATTTAATAGCTATGAAGATTGAAATAGTTGGCAGAATCACTTCATTGTGAAAATAAGTGTCATAACCTTTCTGCAAATAGTACACATTTATGGACATTACCCTGAATCAGTTTTGTTTTAGATGTGTAGATGTAATTGAAGTTCTTGTCACATAAATGACTTTTAAAGTTTTATGTAGTACACTGAATGCCTTGATATTAATTTTGATTTTCCAGTTGGTTAAAATGGGACAGTTATTATAGTAAATAGCCATTATAGTGCAGTAGAGTTGTATTAGAAAAAATCACTAGGATGAGCTGTCACACTCAGTGCAATTAAGCATGTATAATTGTTCGATCTAAAATAATTTAGCTGAGAAAATATTTCATCTTTCTTAATTTCTTTGGAAAAATGCCTAATGCTCAATGCTTGTTGAAGTCTTTGTATAAGTATTTAGATTTTACGAAGTCATTTTCCGAATTAAGAAACATCCTTTTGCTTTTGTTGTTTATAGGTCTGGAGCTGTTGGATGATCAGCAACAGAGCTCTGCAGTGACAGAAAAACAAACAAGCTTAGCTTATCAACATATTTCTAATCAACTTGGCTCCAATGAGTGTCCCAGAGGAACTCCTCCTTCTTCTTTAACACAAGTTTCTGTACAATCTTCATTAACTTCCCTTTCACAGGTCCATCCAATGTTAGCTTCAACCACACTAGAAAAAATTGCTGAAAGTACAAGTCAGTTAGAATGCCCTTTGCCACAACCAGTCTTAGCCAGTCAGTGTGACACCCCTGCCCATGCTACAGCTACATCTGAAGAACATTTTGAGGATAAGGTCCCTCTAAAAACCTCACAGCACACAGTACAAAAGAAAGATGAGAAAACTTGCTTTCCCAATATAGAACACGAACACAGCACAGCTGGACTGCCAAAACCATTTCAGTCTACTCCTGTGCAGACAACAGAAAATTCTTTCCCTGTCATCGCTGATGCTCCTGTTTCGAAACTTCAGTCTTCAACCCAAACCCCCAGTTTGTCAGATAATACTCAGCTTGGCCAGATACCACATTCTTTTGTAGACCAGATACCTCCCATGCCTGCAGTCTCTGAACTTCCAGTTTCAGCAACATCTCAACTTTCAAGTCCTCCTCACCTCTCAACAACTGTATCTCAATTGCATATGCCAACCCAGTCCCAGCCAGTGGTATCCACTGGCTCGGCTATGACTGCACCTCAGCCACCTTGTATGGTAGAATCAGATGGTGAAGGGCCACCAAGAGTTGATTTCACTGACAACACAATAAAAAGTTTGGATGAGAAACTTCGCAACCTGCTGTATCAAGAGTATATTCCAACATCATCTGCTTCAGCAGCAACACCAGACCAAGTGGATGGTGAATTTAATCTGGCATCTTTGCCTGCACTTGTGTTAGATTTGAAAATTCCTGGAGTTGGCTTGGATGCTCATGTGGCTGAAGATCAACCCTCTCCAATTCTGGCAAGTCAAACCATTTAAAAGTCATGTGGATGCCTATTAAAACTGCTGTAGTTCTAATAGATATTTTCAACATTGGTCCTGTTGCTGACTTCTAAGGGCCAAACTGTCATTGTTACCTGTCAGATGCCCCTTACTTAAAATTCATCACATTCATAATAATATCTTTATTTACATTGACACTTCTTTGAACTCAGGGTTATTCAATCAATTTTAATATCTTAAACTAAAATATATTAAGAACCCCATGCAAAATAAGTAAATAAGGGTGAATCGGGACTCATAGTCTTATTTATTTTATTGACCTGAGTAAAAAATATCTATCATGGCAGAATTTCCTTTTTCACTTTAAAGTTGGTCTTTTCTCACTTTGGTTTTATTAGATCTGATGTGGATGGAGGCCAGTCATTTTATGTCACATTTAGTAGCCAAATACATGATTTTTAACACTGGATTCCAAAATACACTTGATAAAAATGTCCCTGAGTGAAAAAGCATAAACTTTGCTAGAGTTTATACCAGTTGAAACAAACTTTCCTTCTCTCCTATTTCAAAAACCTAACCCAAGCTTTATTCTATTAAGTTTATTCTATTATTATGCTAACTTCTCAAAACATCTCAGTTCTTCTGATAAAATACTTCCTACTAGTATTTGTTAGGTGTTCCAATTCATTGGTGTTCTGTAGAGTTGTGAAGAAAAAATTTCTTCTTTCAGAAAAGGACTTCAATATTACCTTCCAGTTCCAGTCAAAAGAATGAGACTTCCAACATGGAAAAGTTCTTTAGATATGAGTATATTGCTGAACATTTTTAATAATTTAATCGCTCAGCTATTGTAATCCATACTTATGATCATTTTCAACATGACATAGAAAATTCAAACAAGAAGGGAAAGAAACTTATTTGAATATTTGGCAATTTTTAATCAAAGTTGGAACAGCGTGGACCTGGTAAAAAGTAATACAAATACCCCTTGACTTATGTCCACAATTGAGCCCAAAATTTCTGTTGCTGAGTGAGACATTTGTTAAGCAAGTTGCCCCATTTTATGACCTTTCTTGCAACAGTTGTTAGGTGAATCACTATAATTGTTAAGTTAGTAACACAGTTGTTAAGTGAATCTGGTTTTTCCCTTGACTTTGCTTGTCAGAAAGTCACAAAAGGTGATCACATGACCCAGGACATTGCATCCATCATAAATACGGGTCAATTGCAAAGCATCTGAATTTTGATGACCTGATCATGGGGGAATGCTGCAACTGTGCTAAGTGTTAAAGTAATAAATCATAAGTCACTTTTTCAATGCTGTTGTAACTTTGAACAGCCACTAAATGAACTGTTGTAGCGAGGATTTGCTTTAAGATGAAATATAAAAATAATTTTAGAGTTTATATATTTCTACACAGATTATAACTTTGAAAGATTAATTTAAATTGTTATGCTTTTGCTTATAGGTAGAACAATCTGATGTTACTGGCACCGGGATCCAGCATTCAGAAATAAACAAAGCAGGTAGTAGAGAATAACTTTAATGTCCATTTTTCTTTCTAAATATCCATATGAACAAGTAACATGTAGGTTATTAGATATAATGATTAAGAAAACTAGGAAATAGTGAATGCGTGTACCACATAGCAATGCAAAATGTAGTAATTTCAAAATAAAATTTAATGTATAATTCTCATGGAAATTTATGTATGGAAATTTATGACAATTTTAATATATGAAATAGGTTAAATATGAATGCTATATAAGTAATGCTTTTACTTATGGTGGGGAAGCCAAACCATATAACTTACATGCTTAAACAACATGATGTATCTTTTACATATTTGTATACATGTATTATTGAAGTAATTTTATCCAGGAAAATCCAATGGGCAAATTAGGAAACTGTGATTTTGTTCCCTATTGTATATGTGGAAAGCAGGGGGACATTTTTTTCTGAACTGATTTTAAGTAGAAAAAATTGAAATGTCACTTTTTTTTAATGAAGATCATGTATCATTTTTCTGTAATGCATATTTGAACATTATTTTACTGAATGATTGTAAGAAATATCCTATTTTCTTTAAGCCTTCTTAATAGATTATATTAGACATTGCATAGAATGCTCAGCTAATTGAATTATAATCTTTATGTCATATCAAACGATGATATCAAGCATTGGATCTACCATAACACCATGATTTATGTTTAATTCATATATATCTGACCTGTAGTCTTGAATACAACACTGAAACTAGAATTGTGGCTTTTGAGGATTTTATTAAATAAGAATTTTGCATATTTAACTTTTGCCTTGCTCTAAAATTTACCAATCCAGATATATGCATGTTTTCTTTTTTGTTTGTTTCCAATATTTTAAACAGGTCAAGATGCAAATGTCAGTTCACCTACTATCCTAACATCAGGATACACTCAGGTACTGTGATCTTATATTGGTTTTTTTTACCCCCTACATCTTATCTCATTCCTCAGACAATTGCAGCTAATGAAGGCCACTATTAATTTCTATAAAAATGTTTAAAAGCAGGTCAGACATTAACCAACTAAGCTTTTCTTTCATTTGTTATTTCAGGTTGTTTCTTCTTCACTTACAGCAGACCAGAAGGACATTGCTAAGAGGAATGAAAAGGAAAATGTCAATGTATTACCTGAAAAGGGAAACAAATCTCAAAAAAATGGCTCTATAGACTCCAATGTCAAAGAAGTGGAAACACCAGCAAAAACTATAGGCAGATTTTCTGTGATCAGCACTCAGGATGAATTAACTTTATCATCTGTGCATTCCTTGAGGTATTCTGCACCTCCAGATGTTTATCTGGACAATCAGCCTTCTAGCCCTGATATAAAGTCATCTCTGCGTCGTGTGCAGACAGCTTCCTCTTTTGATATCCTTTATGGAAAGGATTCCAGTGATTCTGGAGACGAATCTCTTCCAGGAAAACAAGTTGCATCTCCATTGTCTTCTCAGAGCAGTAGACTGGGAAACGATAACATTAAAAAGACTTCATGTATTCTGCAAAAGTCAGTAAAGTCAAGTTCACAGGGCCTTAATTCTCCAAATGGTCATGGATCAAAAATCCCAACTATCAACGTAACTTCTTTCCATTCTCAGTCATCATACGTGAGTAGTGACAATGACTCTGAGTTTGAAGATGCAGACATGAAAAAAGAATTGCAGAACCTGAGAGAAAAGTATGTTTCCGTTTTATCCAAACAAGGTTTTTTTGTGCATATGTGTTTGAGCAGCTTATCCAAATTCACTTTGACATCTTTTGTCATTTGTTCTTTTCTTTTGAAAGCATTTATTTCAAGTTCTTTCATTCATGTGATGTACAATATTCTTTCCCTGTTTTTGTTCTCATTTTGTTGATAAAAGCAACATTCTGCACTAAAGAAAAATTGGATTTTGTATATTACAAGACAAAAGTGGCTTTATTCCCCAACAGCATTTTAATTCCCTTCAGAACTGCAAAATAAATGTATTCACATTGAGCAAGGACATAATATACTTAGGAATCTTTTTTTCAATCATTTACCCCTTGGAAAAATCAAATAAAATATAGTGTCATTTGAGCCAAAAATACTTTCAGCAATATAATTTGTTTTGCTAATTGAAGTGGCAATAGATACAGTAAAGTTATTTAGGACAAAGGTATGCTTTGTCTATAGAAGACACGTGGACTCTTGAGACAACCCAGTCTTAAGAGTAATGTTTTGTTCCTTCTATTGTCTTGTTCTTCTGTGATTGGAAATTAATATTGCCTCCACTGAGGCTTATTTGAGAATTTGTTGATTAAAGTATTGATTAAAGTCTCAGTGAAAGAGTCTTTGGACTAGATAATTCCCAGGCTCTTTATCTTTAGTTATTTATATTAAATGTATACATTGCCCATCTCACTGCCCCGCCTGGAAGAAAAGTATGGTCTTAGATTAAATTAGAGCGACATGTAGACAAAACAGGGACCTTGGTTTACAGAGAGAGAGATGAATAAAGCTCCATGTTATTCGAATTCCAACTTCTATATTGAACTTTTATTTCATCCAGTTACTTTTCCAACGTCCTCTCCATCTCACATCATCTGTTCTGTTGCATTAACCTGTGCATCACCAATGGCATTTTGAAGAAATAATACCCTTGTTAATTAAACTTATGGATTAGCTTGAAGAAATGAATTCTTTCTTATTGTGAACAGTTTGTCCATAAACAATTTATGGATATATGTTACATAAGTATCACTATGTGATTGCATAAGACTCCAGGCTTTACATGGAAAATATCTGCATACTGTTTTTCTGCTGTTTGTACATATTGTTGTTATGCATTTTATTAATTTCTTTTTTTTTGTTACTATATTAATCTCCTGTTTTGTTTTTTGACTGTATATCATTTAGTTGGTGTGATCTCTTAGCAACAGCATAGATAGAGCTTCGGGATGACCTGTCTTCAAGCTGGCTCCTAAAAATCTTATAAAACTTTTACTGCCACAATTGAATCCATCCACCATGCTGTTGGTTGTTCTCTTTCATCCCTTCTTTCCCAGCATTACGGGCTTCTCAAGACAGCTGAGTCTTTCCATAATATGCATTGAGTGTGACTCTGTATTGATTTGTCCTATGATCTGTTTCTTTGTTTTTTGACTCCCATTCTTGGGTCTTTTTCAACACCAAAATTGAATATTATTCTATCTGTCTTACTTCTCCAAAATCCTTTTGTTGTTGTTGTTTGTTTCCATAGAGTGACATAAAGAAAAATATTGCCTGTATCATTCTGAATGTTGTCGGTACAGGCATATCATATCCAAAGTATCTTTTGCAAGGCCTTCATTGATACCCTGTCAACTGCCGATCTATGGCATATTTCTTTATTGCTGATTTCTTTACTGTTAATTGCTGATAGTTGATCCTAAAAGGTAAATGCTATTGTTAGTGTCAATTTTTAGATTAGTTGCTTAACCTATTGTCATTAGTCTTGACTTGACTCTATTTAATTTTAGTCCTATTTCTTTCACTTTTGTTAGTAGAATTTCAGTTCATTTGTATTTTCGGACATCCAAGTATAGCACGTTTTGATTGATTTGGCTGAATATTAATCTTTATTAATTTTGATAAATTATAAATTAATTATATATTAATAAATGATTATTATTCATTGTTTGTCTTTAATGGCAAAGTCTCTTCTGAGTTGAACTGGACTTCTGATGGCACATATGATCATATTGTTTTCTTAACAGAAATACAGAAGTGATTTCCCGTTGCTTTTTTTGGGGGGGGGGGGGGGGGGAGATAGTAGTGTACAAGCCTGGGACTTCACAGTCTAGCTCACAGCCTTCACATTATCTTTGGATTTTTCATTCAAGTACGACCCAGGTGTTTAGCTTCTGAACCCAATCAAAGTACTGCCTCTTGATAAGACAACATCCCCTAATACTAATGCTTGAAACAAATTTATCAGTATTCTCAGGGCCAAATTCAAAGGTCTCTAGTCTTCTGGTTCTTGTTACAGTTTTTCATGTAACTATTTTTTTTCTGAGTTTCTTTATTCCTTACTCATTGACCATATTGCATTTGAATGAAGTGGGCATTTCCTGTAACTATTGCATTTTGTGCTGTTCCATTGCTACCTTTAAAAAAAAAATATGTATAGTAAGATAGATTATTCTTCTGGTTCCTCTACCAAAAACCTCTGTATATTGTTCGAATTATTCTTCATCTTGTGTGGTGTAACCTTTTCTTGAATCTTTTTGCTGTTTCATGCTGGTCCTTTCACTATATTTAGCACTTGGCTGTCAAAACAATTTGCTGTTCTCATTGTTTTGATCATGCAACTTCTTAAAATATATATGCTGGCTTCCTCACTCTTCCTGAATGATTCATAAGCTTGCACAAATGTGCCTTCTTTTTCATCATAGAGATGGTTTTCATATTAGGACTATAAGCCATGGTGAAAGCCACCAATCTTCATTTTGAAATTTATCTCCTGCAATGTAATTTTTTTTTTAAAAAAGTATTTGATAATGATGTAACAAAAATGCATATTCTAAGATATGTTCTTAGAAATAGAGATATCTTAATTTAAGAGTTACTTTCTTTCAGTGTTTTCATGTTTATTCTTCAGACACATGAGGGAGATTACTGAGTTGCAGTCACAACAGAAAAAAGAAATAGAAGCTTTGTACGTTCGTCTGGGAAAACCACTACCACCCAATGTCGGATTCCTTCATTCTGCTCCACCAAGTGGCCGCCGAAGAAGAACAAGCAAGCACAAATTAAAAACTGGGAAATTGCTAAACCCCGTTGTCCAGCAGCTCAAAACATCAAGTGCAAGTATGTTTAAAAGTGATAGTTTCCTTTTAACATACATGCAGTGAATATTTGAAATTGTCGATTATTTTCTTGGGATTTTATTCTTGTTCTTTGCAGTTGTATTGTTCAATCAAAGGAAAGGGGGTAAAGATCTATAGGATGGCTTTATTTGTCCTTTGCTTTCATGGGGAAGGGAATTAAATTAGGTTGAACCATTAAACACAACTTAGCAAAACCATATTAAACATTTGATGTAAGTTCCTTTCATTTTTATTTTCTATGATTATGTCTCATTTATTTACAATGTCCAAAACATTTTTAGGGTGATTCTTGAGTTTGGTGCATTACTTTGCAGTATAAAAGCTTTTCCTTTCATTCTTTAAAAAAAATCAGAATAAATAAAATTAGGTGCAACATGGGTTCGATTGAGTCACCAATATTAGTATCCGTGAACTTTGAATTGGAGACATTGATGCTACACTATGGATAAAAATGGCAAAACTATAGCCATTATTGATTTTTATATATATATAAATGAAAATTTATAGGAACGGTTGATTCTCTGCAGCTGGTTTTCTTAATGTGTGGATTTGGGTCAATGAAAAAAACTTCAGAATATTTTAAATTTTCTTCAGATTATGGTTTCAGATTCTTTTATTGCTTTCAGCTTAATGACTTTTGCATACATCCTGTTTAGGCAATATATCAGAGCATAAAGACCCTTTGGCTAAGGGAAGCACTAGAGCTCAAGCAGACTCTGCTGAAGCAACAGGACTGACTGTGTCCACATCAGCCATACTTGACAGCTCAGTTCAGACTCAGCAACCTTGCTCTGTCAAGGCTTCATTATCCTCTGACATTTGCTCTGGAGTAGCTTCTGAAGGAGGCGATGTCCGTGGAAATTCTGGCCAAGGTGATTTTATATCTTCAGAGTCCTCTTTTACTCTATGCTTAAAACAGTCGTTTTTCCACAGGGGAACAAAACATGTGTTAAAGTGAGAAAAGGAAGTTTAAGGCTTTCTTTTTACTTGATATACTGATTAGATTTTCAAACCACCTTTCCTCCAGGGCCTCATGGTGGTATATATAGCACTCTGGGCTCCATTTTTTCCTCACAACATCAACCTGTGAGGTAGGTTTAGCTAGAGAGAATGTCCAGCCCAACCTCACCAAGAAACATCTGCTCAGCATACTGATTCAAAGCCTGTAGAAATGATGCTAATTGTGATACAATTAGAAAAGTTGTTGATGTAAATCTAACAGCAATTTCACTGACCGTGCAAAGGGTAGGTGTCTCACTTCCTGGTGTTCATTTTGAAAATGAGCCATGAGAGGAAAATCAGTAGAGTACAAATACAAAATGCAGTTAATGTTAAGAAAGAACCAGTAGAGTATAGAGCACTTTAAAAAAAAATCAGTAAAATTGTCCACTGTAGATTGAAATTATTTGCAACAGGGAAGCTGACTCCTTTTTTATTTTGCTTCCTATTCTTTGGTTCTCTTAAGTCCCCATCATTTCCTGCAGATACAGAACTTTTCGGATTAAACTGCATTGGCCTGCAAAAATGTAATTCAGAAATAATTACTCTTTAAGCGCCTGGCATAAATTTTAGCTTCATTAGAAAGTCTACTACATTCAGTAGTAGCACTGTTACCTCTCATGGCATAGCTTCATCATGGTATGGTAGCAGTAGAGTCCTTACACCGCTGCAAAGTGTTGGGATGATTATAAATGGTCACCTCTGGTTTTGCATGTTCTGCCCAACTAATCCTATAAAATATCTATTTTCTTCTGCTGTCGTTTTCACACCCTTTTGCTTATAGCCAATGAACTTACTCCTCTGGGGCAAGGTTAAAATGGAGGTGTGGATGATTAACTAACAAAGCTGATATGACTGATGGTGACATCTAATCACAGCTATTTGTACTTTATAAGTGTCTTTGTTTTCTTCCCTTTATATTCATTTGCAGGCTGGACGGTTTTCCACCAAACGTCTGAGAGAGTGACCTATAAATCTAGTAGCAAACCTCGTACCAGATTCCTCAGTGGACCTGTGTCTTTGTCCATCTGTTTGTATTTGTTCTTTTGTATTTTATCACAGCCCATCTTTCTTTTGTCATCTTTTTCAAAACTCATTTTCATCAATTTATCTAATATGCTTGGCAGGAAGCCCCTTCTTGTAGACAATCACTTCCCCCCCCTCCCTTTTTTTTTTAAAGTAATCATCTTAATTTAATTTATTTTGTTTCATATGGAAAGCTTTTGAACACTGCTTTTGGCTCATGCCTGGGTATCAAAAGCATGTGTGGAAGATCTCATCAATTTATTCTATAGTCTTATGGTAAATTCTTATCTTGGACGTATCTTTATGTGATTTTGCGTTGGAGTAATTTTTAATTTGCAATGTGACAGTTATAAATGTCTGCTGTCCTGATTCCGGTGATACCAAATCGAAACCCAGGCTTCTGTAGACGAATGGTCTCTTTCACACATGCTTGGACTATGAAGACATGCATGTAGCAAGCTGATACAATTCTAGAAGGTCACTGAAGGGTAGAACGTCTGCACAAGGGCTGTATTCAAACAATATACAGTACTGTTTATATCCACTTTGTTGTTGTTATTGTTGTTATTATTATGTTATTTCTCCTGTCCCTTGCATGTAGAAATGCTGAGAAATGCTCCTGCTAGCTCTTTAACACCATCTTTTCTAGGCAGCATTTCCCCTCACATTGTGTACTTTTGGATTACTTTAAATGAATTTTCTTAAATGTGATTGTTAGGTTATCACAAGCACAATATGGCTTTTATTAGACATTCACCTAGCTGGAGCACTTTACTCAGTTAATTTTTATTATGACCTTATGTGACCTCAGAGATGAAGTCAACAAGCAGTTCATCAAAGCACAGAATAAATTAAAATTCCTAATGCCACTCTCAGAATAGTCTATTGATATCATGTCCAGATGCAACTAAAACTAGACTGTTCTTGATTGTATGATTATACGAATTGGCTATTCAACCAGTTGTCACAAATATTTATTTTTAAGTTTGCTTTTGTAAAACAAATGCTTATTATAAGGCAAATTACTTTGGGATATTTTGGTACAATAAGGCTATATTGTACTAATGAAAAAAATCTAGGCCATGGTTACAAATAAGATAAAATAGTGCCAATATATAGAGGTATTTATATTTAGTTAACATTCAGCAAATTCAGTATTCATTTTCATCAAACTTTTATCATTGGAACTATACATCTCTATCATTATTACAAGGGTACAAATCAAAGGCACAAAGCTACTTAAAATCCATCCTTCTTGCTCTCCATTTTCAATAAAATAATGTCAACATTTTTAGGCTTAATGAAAGGGCTTTTAAGTATTCATAAACATCTTTGTATATGAAAATCATAATATTAAATTTCAGTTATAATTTCAAGATAAAGAAATATAATATTTTTTAATTATTTGGCATATAAAACTTATTTGATGGTTCTGTGTGGTACATGCATGACATATATGCAGAAGATCCAAGTTCAGTGTCTGGCAATTGCAAGGAGAACTGGTGAAGTTCTTCCCTAGAACCTGGGACAATTAGTGCTACAAGAGTGGCGCAGTGGTTAGAACGCAGTACAGCAGCTACTTCTGCTGACTATCGGCTGCCTGCAATTTGGTAGTTCAAATCCCACAGGCTCAAGGTTGACTCAGCCTTCCATCCTTCCGAGGTGGGTAAAATGAGGACCCAGATTGTTGGGGGCAATATGCTGACTCTATAAACCACTTAGAGAGGGCCGTGAAGCACTGTGAAGTGGTATATAAATCTAAGTGCTATTGTACTTGCTATTGATACTTGCGGGCATTTATTCACCATCTATCATACTGGCTAACAGGAGCCAATGATCTGACTCAATATAAGACTCTTTCCAGTATAAGTATGTTCAGAATGATACATTCAGTTGTTTTTGACAGCTAAGCTCTACAGAGCAATTGTTAATGTTATGGTACCAATGTTATTAATTGCATTGGGTTTGTAGAGCAATATGGTCAAAGATAGGCGAGGAACTGTTCTACAGGTAGTCCTCGACTTACAACAATTCATTTAATGACCGTTTGAAATTATAACGGCAGTGAAAAAATTGATTTATGACCATTTTTCACACTTATGACCGGTGCAGCATCCCCATGGTCACATGATCAAAATTCAGATGCTTGGCACCCAACTCACATTTATGACGATTGCAGTGTCCTGAAGTCATGTGACTAACTTTTGTGACCTTCTGATGAGCAAAGTCAATGGGAAAGCCAGATTCACTTAACAACCAACTAACGTAACAACTATGGCAAGAAAGATTGTGAAATGGGACAAAATTCACTTAACATAAGTTTTGGGCTCAATTGTGGTCATAAGTTGAGGACTATGTGTATTCTGTTCCTCTTGTAAGTATAGGAATCTTCCAGTTGTTATTAAGAATCTCACAGATTACAGGATAATACTAAAAGGTGAACTTTTATCCCTTAGCTGTGAAATTATTAATTGCTTTATGTGTTACAAAATGATGAGTCATTGAGTTTTATTGGGATGGGATTCCAATTGACTTCTGGTGAACCAGCAAAGTCATGACAATGTTCTCCTTACAGTTTATGGGCACATATAGAAGGAATATAATTCTGTAGGTTACTTTAGAAAGTTAAAACCAAAGTTGCACATAAGAAATTTAAGAAATCTTTTAAAATGTGGAAAAATATTTCTAGAAAAAATACTTAATTTATAGTAGTTTGAGTAGAAGCTGTTCTCTTTTTTTTTAAAAAAAATAGTATTTAAATCTGTACATAAAACCTAATTATATGACCATCTTGGCTCTATGTTCTCTTAAAACTAAATTGTTGTATAGTACTTACTGTAAAGACAGTGCAAAGTACAAAGGTGTAACAGGTCATGTTGGTGGTTATTTATTTTCAATAAGATGGTTAAGGATTTACTGTCTAGTATATAAACAAAAACACAATTGCATATTGTTATAGCAAGGAAATTATCAGAAGAATCCACTGAAAAATTAAAACATAGGAAAATATGTTAAATTTAGGCATGGTCTCATTACTGACTTTGACCCTCTCTCCAAAAAGGTCTAAAATAAAATAAAAAAAATTGGTGATAAAGGAAGGAAGGAAGGAAGGAAGGATATCAACTGATTTTCTTTTGGGACATTTATTATGGAGATATCACATTTACATTATAGAATGCTGTTCATTACAACCTTTTGATTCCCACATGAAGTATAATAACTAATGTAAACATTTATTTGGAGCTAGGTCCAATTCATGTGTCATATCAGCAGACATCAATTAATCTATAGTCAGATTTTATTGTTCTGGCACTAAAATAAGTACCTTGTTGATGTGCACAAACATTATGGAATCTGCTATTCCTATGTGATTGATTCAATCTACCAATAGGTAGATTGAATGTAGACAGTGTAGCAAGAGCCAGCAGCATCTACAGTAAAGGGCGATGATGCCAAAATGACAAAACAGCTGAGAAGATATACTATAAATGCAGCTGATATGCACTTGCATCCTGACATTTTAGTATCTAGGATGCAGCATTTGTGTGATAATATCATGGTGAAGGTCTCTCCCTTGGCTAAAATTAGAATAAAATATTCAGCATAAGAGTTAGTGAGGTAAAATGTGGTTTTTCTTTCTGTTTGAAAGATTGTCACGTGTAGCACTCAATACCATTGGGATAGATAAGTATAGACATGTACACATACATATACATGCATTGCTATCAAAGTTTGGAATGATTTGGGTTGTGTTTGCATGCAAAGATGGGTAATCTTTCTACCATATCAGAAACCACTTGATTAATCATGGTGGACAGCAGTACCAACATGCACCTAATAATGAATAATACCCCCATGACATCTTCGCAATATTATAAAGGCAAAGTAGGTAAGTTAGATAAATAAAACAGAAAAAGAAAATTTTAAACCAGCTAGAGCTAGACTAATTAATAACCTTCCTGCTGACTTTCTGTCAGAATAAATATATCTCCTTATTTTGTCTTTGTATCCTGTTGTTAACACTGCATTGGATTCAACTGAATATTCTTAACCAAGCAGTAGGATTTTTCTACCCAGCTCATCAAATAAATAATAAAGAATGATAGGAAATACTATCTCCTATACAATAGAGCTGTAAGCGTCCAACTGCAGTTTGATGATAAGATCAAGATGAAGCAATTCGTTGTCTTTCATTTCAATATATACTTTCAATTTGATGTGCCTTAGTTCTGCAGATCTGGCTCTAAGTTCTTGCTGCCAATCTATTCTTATTTTTATCATTAACTGAGAGAAATCAGAGGTATTTCATTTACTGGGCATACAGAATAGGAACTGACTTAGAAGCAACATTGATTAGAAATATTACTCTATGTAATGAAAATTTTAGGAGCCAATTTAAAAATCTGCAATGTTTTATTTTTCGTATCAGTAAATTTCTATAGGCTTTGAGCAGCCCCATTATTTCTTCTTTTACACCTGAACTGCTGACTTTCTGTCTGTTCCTTCTTGCATAATGGTTATTTTTTATTGTTTAAAAATGCAGAAGACTGTCCATCAGAGTCTTTTATTTTTCCCTTTTTAGTCTTACCTAACTCTATATATCTTGTATCATTTACCTTGTAGGGTCCACCCTGAAACGACTATGTCTAGGCAAAGATCACAGTAGTAGTAACTATCCCTCTCTCTTTTATTTTTGGCTTTTTGGTATTTATTTTTGAGCATGGGCTGCTTTGTTTAAATATAATCTAGTGGTTTATTTAACAGCAGACTGCATTGATGATGGCAGTTAAATTATGCTGCTTATGAATTAAACATAGCTTTGCATGTCTGTGCTGTTTTGGGGTGCATGCCTGTTGCAAGATCATCATGATTTCAGTATGTACATGTGTATTTTAATGAAATAAAGCTGAGTCATATGCTTGCTAATTAACTCGGCTTCCTTATAATGTTCTTCTGTGGCTGGCTGACTAATACAGTTTAATAGTTCCTCTCCTCTATTGAAATGCTTGAAGTACTGAACAGTGTCTGAAGTATCATTTGGGGGGAGCACTTTCACTGTTCTATTTTTCAACAAGCATAAAAATTCACATTAGTTCAATGCACGAGAAGTTTTAAAGAAAGGCATAAGATTTTATGTAAGTGAAAAAATGCTAATAGTGTTGCTCATTCTGTACATTCATAATGTAGAAATAGTCATCTAGTATGTTAGCTCATTGTATGTAATACCGTTTCAATACAACTTTGAACTTTTCTGCTTCAAATTTTGGTCATTTTGAAATTAGGATACACGTTTTTGAGATAATTGGGAAAATATTATTTTGGACTCATTGGTCAATTGTCAGTTGCTGACAATAACTGCTTTATTTCGCTTTGCTACTTAATTGGTTTTAATGCCTCTACCGCAACTTATTTTGAGTAAAGATTTCAACAACAGTTGCCCCAGTTTCAGGATGTATGTATAAATATTTTTATAATTAGATTGAATAGATTTAGTGGCCATGTTTGTAGTCTTTCAAATTATGACCACTTGTGTCATTCATTACTATCATCTTGAAAGTGATTTTTTTAAAAAGAAGGAAAAGATCAGTAAAATCTCAAAGTACATTTCAGTTCAGAGCAGAGTAAGGAGGTACTTGAGAATTCTGCAGAAATATAAAAATTTAATTGGCTGCAAAGATTTTTTTTTAGCCAATTATGACTAAAAAAAATAAACAGGCTTCTGTTAGGAAAGAAGATATAATTTATCCTAACTAAACTAATACTCTGAATAACAAAACTAAAATCCCTCTGAATACATATTTAAACATGTGTTTACACTACTGGAGGGCCATTTTTGAAGCAAAAAAATGTTCTTCAGAAGAAGAAGCTGATTGATTAAACATATTTGTAATACATATACTCAAAAGAAAATACATGTTTTATATGTGCGTATAATTGATTCTTACCTTTCCATGATGTCTTAGGATCTTCAGCAAACAGCCTTGTAGCATATCCAGATCCTCTACCACAAACAACAATACAGGTTCAGGTACAAGCCAACAACAGTAACAACAAGAAAGGAACCTTCACAGATGATCTCCACAAATTGGTGGATCAATGGACAAACAAAACCATGGGAACTGTACAAGCAAAGCCATCCTTAAATCAACTTAAACAGAATCAAAAACGGCAAGACATGGAGTCCAAGGCTAATCCCATGCAGACACAGAATGAGACCTGTGGAGTAAGTGGCACTCCTTGAAGAGCATTACGTTTTACTTTGGGTCTGAAAGCCATTGCAAAACTGATGTTTGGAGCAGGACATAAGCTTTTTTTTTTTAAAAAAAAAAGCATATTCCATATAAAATCCATTTCAATTCATTGACTACTAAAAATAACTTAAGAATTTTTTTTTTATCAACTTGGACTTGAGCTTGACAACATACGTATGGTTCAGTATGTAACTTTTTGCAAATTGAAAATTGTGGAAATTTATAAACAGCAATATGTTCACTGGCAATCAAATATTGCTTGTCTTAAATAATTTCAAATAACATCAATGAAGTTTATTTTATATATTTTCCCCAAAAATATCATTAATTCCATAGTTGGTATATTGGCAGCTGCTAGTGGGTTTTGCAAGTGACTCCGCCAATAGTCCAACTTTAGAACAGAGTAGTGGCAACTGTCAATATGATCCTACATAAATTTATTCAAATTAAGTCCCCTTTAGTTCAGTGGCTTGAATTTTTACTTTGAAGAATGAATACCAATCAAGTCTGACTAAGTACAGTAGGGACTTCTTAATAAAATGCTTCAGATTTCATTGTAAATAATCACTTTGAGTTGAATAAATGCATTAAATTTCATATAAAGAAATATATTTAAATATACCAGAGTGGCTTAAAGAAAAAGATGGGTATAATGTATTCACTTCACCATACTTCCATTATTCATTTTCAGTGCTATAGCTTATCATCTTCAACCTTATGAATTTCTGAATTCATGTAAAATATACATATATGCAAAACTAAAGCCATAATATTTTGGCTTGAACCAATTATCATCTCCCTTCCCTTCTTTCCCACCTACAGAATTCAAACACAGTTATTGCAAGCAAGGCTGCTCCAATACTTTTTGAAGCTTGGTGGTATTTGAAATCGAATATAAATTAGATCCATCCTCTTTAGTATTTAAGAATGGGGCAAGCCCACTGGCAGCACTGTAAACATCTGGATTGACCAAGTCATAAATAATGTGCCAGGGCCATTGAATCAGGGAAGTGTACTTATTTATTTATTTATTTGTATTTATGCAAAAATTTGTATATTTTCTGTTCCGTAGAGGAGAAGCATAATTAATATATTTGAAAAGGAGGAGAAACATTTAATTAGTGTTGTTTATCAAGTATCAACTGGTTTGCTACCTTCCTAGAATTTATTCTTTAATCTTGGACGCCCTTGGCAGATTATTGTTGCTTTTTTTTTTTACTACCACAGAATCTAAAAAGCAGTAAATAACTTTTGTGTTAAGTTAGAATAACAGAAAACAAAAGACATTGGAAGGACAGGTGTATTCATGTTTATCCATGAGCAAATAGATGTCTTTCATTAAAACAATTAAATTCATAGAAAACAAGTACACTTAAACTTTTCTTTAAATCATAATTTTTAATTAAAACTTTCATTTACATAGTGTGACTTCACAGGCTTCGGATATTTCATATTAAAATATATAGATTGTACTGTTGATTGAAAGTAGAAAAAGGATGGAATCAAATGCAGCGGTCTGCCTTAGCAACAAGAAAAGTTGCCAGAAACATTGCTCTTTTTGAATACTACACAGCTTCCATTTCGGAAAACAAAAAGTATATGTGTTGACATTATTGTTTTGTTACAGCTCTGAAGCGCCAATACATACACATCTGGGAGATCAGTCAATACAAAAACACTATAATAACCCAAAGGTTCTAAAAATTATGAAACCCACTCATAGAGAGTTTTCTATATGTTTGTTTTTATTCCCTTGTCAGTCAACTAGTTAAATGGAAGAAGAAGTAGGCTTGCAGTTCCCAAGCCTGGGCCCAACTGAGAGTAACCCTTCAGCAACCATAGTTACAATTGAACCGGCCCTCCCATTTACTCCCTGATACAGTCAGGATTTTGATAAAGTGGTGCCAAGCATTTCCAAAGAATGTCTGTGCATTCTAGTGAGATCTAAGAAAAAGAAAAAGCTGAAAAGTACTGTACCAGAGAAAGACAGAATTTTTATTACCGGGTTTTGTACATTCTTACAATATATATATGTACACATAATTGCTGTGCAAGCAAATCTATTCACAAAAGTTGACTGCATGCTGTTTCAATGCAAATGTACTATTCTTTTCCTTACCATTCACTATAAATACTACATATGTTATTTTTATTCAGCAAATGGCTCTGTTCCTTTTAGCATCATCCTTTTCTCTAAGAAAAAAAAAACTTTGTATATTTTATTTGAAAAAGCCGGTGACTCTTGGATCAGTTTCATAAAATCTTACAAGAATTCTCTTGTCCTGTTTTATTTGATATCTAAAACGGTATAAGCAGTACAGCCCACACTTCCTCCCCATTCCCCGACCTTGTGCCTAAACAGAATGTACTTTTCTTTGCTTCATTTGCACCAGGAACTTCTACATTAAAGGACATAATTTCTCAACCTGGCTGAAAAGCATGAACATCAGCCAACAGGGATGTGTCCTTTTGTTTTTGACATCAGTCATGCACAAAAGGGGCTACTATAGCTCACTGTTCTTGGCATCTAATGGAATATGTGTAGAATGTAACTCATATTATCTCATGAGTTCATCATATGGGGACATTTCACTAATATTACTTACCCTAATAAGTAATACCTGTTGAAACAAAAAGTAAGAATATAGCATTTTGAGCTTCTGGAGGCAATTTCCTTGATTGATGGATTAATGTAAACAAAATATATATGATGAGTGTGTGGGCACACACACAAGCATGAGTGTAGCTAGTCGGGTAAGATATGGACTTCCACGTGACTGAAAGATGGGGGGAAAATAAATGCAAAGTAAATATAGGCTTGTAGTAATTCAGTGGTTTGGATTTACAGGTATCTGTAGTCCACACTTACGAAGCATGAGACCAGCAACTCCATTGCTAAATGATGAGGTTGTAAAGTGAAGAGTCACATGACCACACAGATTTACAACATCAATTCGGGCAACAGTCATTAAGTGAATCGCAAGTCATTAAAAGCAATGTCACATGACCATGACTTGTGACCTCGGGTTGGGTTCCTTGTTGATTTTGCTTGTTGGAAGCCAGCTGTGAAGATTGCAAATGGCAATCATGACCACGAGATATTGCAATTGTCATACAGGTGTGCTGGTTGCCAAGTACCTGAATTACAATGGGATGCTGCAATGCCCACAACTTTGAAAACTTATCATAAGTGGGGACTACCTGTGTTATCTTAGGGGTAGCATAATATTTGAGTAGCATTTAATATATTTTGAATGGGAGCATAGTGTTGAGAATAAACAAAATGAAGCAAGCAAATCAAGATTCTGAAGTTTTCTTTTATGAATGATAAAAGGCCACATTCTTCAAACATATCTGGTTGTCTCAGATACAGATTAATATCCCATTCACAAAATGATATTTGCATCAATCATGAGCATTGGAGCACTGTGATGTAGTCATGTGCACATTAACCATATGAAAAAATAACTCATGGATGAAATTCATAGATCAGGGATAGGTACATTATATAGATACTACAGATACGTATATGAATACAGAAGTCCATATTCAACACCTTTGCAGATCTCAGGCCCTGCCCACTGACAGTGGCTACTGATTGTAAGCTAGAAATAATGTTTGTGGCCAATTGATTTCTACAAAATTTGCACACAGTTGGTAGCATAATTCTAGTTGCATTAAGTCAGACATAAGTAGTTTGAAAAATAAAGTTCATACATATGGAGATTCCAGCACTGTGAAGTGGTATATAAGTCTAAGCGCTATTGCTATTTATACATGTGGTCCTTGTTTAATAACTTGTTCAGTGACCATACTGTGTCAATCACAGTATCTCATGTGATTGCCGTTTGCAAACCTGTTTGACAGTTTCCTACAAGCAAAGTAGAAAGTTGGCAGAAGATTGCAAATGGCAACCACACGACATTGAACTTAATGGCATTGTGCATTGTGCGATTTTCCTAATAATGGCAACTGTAAGAACTGCCAGAATTTTTATCACTAAGCAACTCATCACATGAAAACCTTTATAACTGTGTTGCTTAATGTTGGGAATTCCAGTCCCTATTACTGTTGTTAAGAGAGGACTACCTGTATAGAAATAAGCTCTTTTGAATTTTTTTTTAACAGATTGAGGCTAATTAACTAAGACTAGACTCTACTAGAGTTTTAAGCTAATGTAAATGGTTAAAGTTTATATATCTAATGAGCATCAAGGTTGGGAAAAGATTCGTAGGAACAATTGTGATGGCACAAAAGGCAGGGCCATCTGCCTCAATGAAGTATCATGAGCCAAATCCATTCTGCAAAACAACTTTATCTGTCATTAAAAGCTTTTCTAAATACCTTACAAGGCCACAAATAGCAAATGTAGTGAAGTAGCAGTTATTTTCAAAAGTTCTGACTGTGTTCATTTCTGTGGCACCCCTGTTTTTATATTTTACTGCAGACATAGAGATAGGGTTTCTATATACATTGATATTCTGCAATATTGAATATTCAATAATGAATATTTCTCAGATAAGAACTGTTGGTATTTCCCTTTGTTAAAGAATTGAGAGAGAAAAATAGCACATTATTCTGCAAATTTAATTTACTTCTTCAACTTAATGTTAGTCAGAAACGTATTTCCTTTTCTAAAACCTCTATCTGGATCATGGAGTATTCTCAAAAAAGCAAAAGTTGGTCATGGAGCTATACATTATTTATCTTTTTTCTACTTGCAAGACTTGATATCTTGGGATGGGACAGCTATATTAGAACTGTTTTTTCTTTCTTAGCTAACCCCTTCTTTTCTTGAGAAAATTATCTTTATTCCCAGAATAAAAACATGCAGTATTTTAGAAGAAAGACACCAATAAACAATGTTTTAGATTAATATTTCACAACAGTAATTTTGCACAGGAATTGGCTTGTTGGTCTGATCTAGGAATGAACTAAATTAAATGGCTGCTAGCCTGAGAATAATTCTCAATAGGATCTATAGGTCCTGCTGTCCTACAAGTCGATCCTACTTGACTTACAACAATTTGTTTAGTGACCATTCAAAGTTACAACAGCACTGAAAAAAAGTGATTTGTGATTGGCTTTCACATTCACAACCATTGCAGCATCCCCATAGTCACGTGATCAAAATTTGGCACTTGGCAACTGACATGTATTTATGACAGTTGCATTGTCCCAGGAGTGATGTGATCATGATTTATAACCTTCCCAAATGGCTTCCAGTAAGCAAAGACAACGGGGACAGCCAGATTCATTTAAAAACTGCGCAATTCACTTAATTCCAGTGATTCACTTAGCAACTGTGGCCAAAAAAAGCTCCCCAAATACTGCCTTGCTTAGCAATGGAAATTTTGGGCTCAATTGTGGTCTTAAGTTGAGGACTATCTGTACTTCTAGAAAATCTGCCAAGCATGAAGACACCTTTACTCCCCCATTCCCTAAGATATTTTGCCTTTCATCTGTGTATTTGTGTGCTTTTTCTGCTTTAAGAATGGTCAGTCCCTAGGTGTAATTATCAGTCTGATTTCATATTTATAGAACCTGGGATTTTCCTCAAAGGAAGCTTGTTCAGGAGTAGGTGTTAACTTAATGGAATCACTGTCAAAAGTTGTAAATCACTTATGTAATTAAAACCCGCTATGCAGATCCAGAGGGACCAAGCAATCCTTTGGTCTATATTTAACCTCATAGTTCTCAAAATGTCAGCTGCTCTCAGTGATCCAAAATCTCTTTCATCTGGTTTAACTGTGCCTGGATATGAAACTGACTGAAGAATCCTGCGTCTATATTGAAATGTCTATTGAAGGGGTGGAAACACACCTAGGGGGAGAGACTTTACAATGATTGCAGAGTTATTTAACAGAAGCAGGGAAAGGGTTAACTACTTACTACAATTGGTTGCTTTGGAAACATGCTTTCCATTTTATAACATGTTATAGATGGCTATTTTTCCAAATTTAGCCATTGGCTCTTTAAAATGTGCATAGCCAAAAGGTTTTCCAGCTAATATCAGCTACTGCTGGAGAAATAGCCATAGTTGATGTTGCTTTAAGGAAGCAGTGATTTGTCACATTGATTTGTTATCAGTTCCTGCAGGGAGAACTAATGATTATTTGGGGGTGGGGGGAATCTTGCCGTGCTTAAAAATGTTTTGTATTCTACTAGAGCTCCCTTGGTGTTTATATTGGTAACATGAGAAGGATTAGAGCCCCACCGTGCGAAGGAGTTGTGTGTTCATTCCTGCATTGGCCATTTTGACCAAAGGAGGGAGCATGTCCAGCATGTCCCCTCCAAACAGGGTGAAAGAGATGGGTTGACAATGATAATTTCTATGAAAAGAGGAAACAAGAATTACAGCTACATTTTCTTATGTTTGATTTTATAGGTTAATGCAGCAAGAACAGGAATGGGGAAAAAGTGTGTTGTTCCAGTGACTTGTCCACTGTCAGCTGCATTAACTTCTGGAGTTCCACCATCCCAGCCAGTGCCTATGCCAGGTACTCTCCTAACTGGCCCAGTCAAACCTTATGTGATGTCTCTTGGTCAGTATGGAGGAGTTCTCCCTACGACCTTCTTTGGAGTGCCCTGGTCGGGCCCAACTACCCAGCTGGGGATGAGAGGAGGCCAGAGCATTGCACAGTTTCCAGCTCTTTGCCCTAGTAGCTTCCAGTTGTTTCCAGTGCCCCTGCAGAGGCCCTAATTTGGAATGACCTCAGTAGCTGACTTCCAAATGGCAACCATCCAATGCTTAGCTCCTAGGCAATCTGTTTCTCCCTGCTGGTCCCATTCAGGCTCACTAGTTCATTAGCCATGCCCCCCTCAGGCTGGCCTAGTGGAATGCTTTCCCACCAATCTGTGTGCTCTTCGGCAATTCTTCCTTCTCCTTCGTTGCTGAAGACGGTTGAGTTTCCTCTCTGGTGTTTGAAACAGCTACGTTCAACACTAACGTACTTGAATGGATGGGTAGGAGAATAGTACTGATCTTACAGGAGTATAGTGCCTTGAATTCAAGCTTCTCAGTCCAAACTGGGAAAGTTAAAATAATCACAACAATAACTGAAAGGTGTACTTTATTTACAAACTTCTTGGGAAAGCTTAACTTTTTTTATTTGCAGAAATACAAAGGTATAAACTTAATGGTGGCAGTTTACATCTGAAATTCTTGACCATTTTCTCCTTTTAAATGCTTTTAATTTAACCCACAGTTAAGTGGTGTGTTTGGTAGTTTAAATCTTTAACCCCCTCTCTGACTGGGGCTCCAGCCCTTTGAGTAAAGCGTAATGAAATGGATCACTTTGTTGTTACTGAAGAAGTCTGAATGTAAGTTGTATCTCTGTGTTTGAGGGGGAAAAGTGTTATGTGGTCTTTCTGAAAAAGCAGCTGCAAGTGGCAACCTCTCTTTTTCTTTCAAACAGCAAATTTGGCAGGCAGATGTCCTTCCCCCTCTGATATTCAGCTGTAACATTTTTTGCCATCTTCTGAACAATCTAATTCAATTACATTACAAAACCCTGCATGTTTCATGTGTGAAATATACTTAACCATAATTCTTGACATTAGGACAACAGCCCAAAGTTATTGTAAGATCTTTGTAAGTACGGAAGTCTCCTTGCATGTGATCTGCCTGTCCACCAAATGCTTAAGAGTATTCTCCGTGAAATGGAATTGGCTTTTGACTTGCGCTTCCTTCCTTCCTTCTTACATTCGCTTTATGTTACCGTATGTAGAAGTTGCATCTTCACCTGTCAGTCTAAAGGCACATGAGAGCCACTCACTATTTATTTGCAGGTTGGCAAGTCTTTGTTGCTTTGGTGGAAAAGAATCCCATCTACAAATATAATGGCACACTTAACAGAATCACAGTAATCACAGTTGAAGGCACACTGCTTGCACTTTACCACTCTCAATATGGCAGCAGTATTTTTAAACTGCCTGCTGAAGGGGTGGAGCTGTTTGGTGCTGCTCATCTGTTCTTTGTATGAGTCTACTGTACTTTGAGCACTCGAGAACTGTCTGTAATATTTTGTTGGTACCATTGAATACAATGCTGTCAATTCTGTTAGAATTGAATTTTGTAGAACTTGACGCAGTCTTCTGCCTGGGGAGAATACATGTACAGTAAGAGATTTCTGTTCTCTGTAACATGTATTTTTACATTGTTTGAGACTTTATTTTAGATTCATGTATGTATGCTTTATGAGCATAAACACCAAAAATGTCTTCTCACTGTCTTCCCCCTTTTGCTTGCACTGAAACGTCCCATTTGCCACGACTGCCTATTGTACAGCCTGTTTCAGCCCCTTGTATATGATGGTCAGTGGTATAACCTCTCACTACCAAGAGAATGTATATATTCAAGAAAAGGAAAAAAATAAACATTTTTGTGCTTGAAAAAAAAATGTGTTGCTAAAAGTTTCAGCTGTTAAGGAGCAATTCCTTACAGTTCAAGGTCATCTCCCCCCATCATCAGAGACAGGTATATTTTGAAAGCAATTCATGCAATCAAATGATAGGTAGGATATCTAGAATTAGAATTGAAATATTTCATGCATATGCTTACAATGATACCTCGGGCATCAAAATGAGCAACATTTCAGAAGATGGAATCAGCAAGTAAGTTCTACCTACAGACAATATTTTTTCATCAATCACATTTGATGGAAAAGGGCTTGATCATGATTGACTAGTTTTGTTACCAATATTAACTTCTATAATGTCCATAACTATGGGGTATTCCAAGTTTAGACAGAAAATAGCTATGGAAAGATGTTTATTATTTAGCAAAAATCAATACAATAACATCAAAAAATATGATCCTTTCAACTTTGATTATATATGTTGAACAAGAGAAAAAAGATGTAATAGGGAATGAACCAGATGGAAGAGTTGTGCTATTTCAGCATATCAAAAAGATTACTAGCATGACACATTTTCCATAGTTTTAATGCAGTCAATATAATATTTTAAATCAGTTGCATAGATCTTGAACAGAGGCAGATGCCAACATTAAACTTGAAGTCTTCTGGGTACCAAGTAGGTGGTTCTCTATTACTGAGTTATAGGCCTCATCCTAAAAGTTGTGACCTTTCAGAAGTAAATTTTGGAGCAAAGCTTAATTGAGCGGTAGTGTATTCATGTGTCTGTTTATTTCCATTTTGGAGAACTACCCATCATTGTATAAGGCTTACATTAGTGAAATTTTAAAATACATGAGATTTTACTTCATAAAGTAAAATTTGGCTACATGCAAATTTCAACCCATTTCTCTATTAGCCGAAGCACAGCTTTCAAAGGGAAGATAGATCAGGAATATCTTGACACATTTTGAAAAGCAATGGACTATTGCAGTGTTCCTTCAGCAACTTTAAGGTAAGTGGACTTAGCATCCAGGATTCCTCAGCCAGCCATGTTGGCCAAGGAATTCTGGAAGTTGAAGTCCACAGGTATTAAAGCTGAGTGGACTGGCTATGGAAAGGTTCCAAAGGGAGAGTGCTCCCATGACAGGCCAGAGGGCTACTGCCCAAGAATGCTTCCCTGAATTCCCCTGCTATAAATCTGGATGTGATCTCTTTAAGAGGTTGTCCTTTGCAGATATCACATTTTGCCATGTCACACTGAAAGTCTAAAAATATAAATGAATTGAATTAGTTCTTTCTGCAGTTGCACTTCCAGAAGCAAACAACTCTTTTCAAATACAGAAATGTAACTAGCTTGCAGTGCATACTGCTGTAATTTTACTTGGGGTCAGAAAAAAACCTTAACTTTCTACTTGAGCAGGAATGGTTAAACAACTTCAATGGCAACAAGACAATAAAATTATATATTCAACATTACAATTTGATAGTAAGGAAATGCCCTTACTTGAGCATGTGTGAACTACAGAGCTGCGAGACCTGATTGTAATACTGCATCAAAAAAAATTAATTAGTATTAAGAAGCATCCAGTCCATATTCAAAGTGCTTTCATGGCTTTGAAAGAGATGCTAAAATTCTATCTGAGAAAGGCCTTGCAAATGTAGCCCACATTCTACTCTGCAGATAAGGAGCTGGCTTATCGGAAGCATTGGTCATAATCACTTGATGTATGTTGAGGCCTTGTTTTTCTCCAGTTCAGCCTTAGCCTTTTACATAGACTTAGCATGTGGGTATAGTCAGCAACTTATTCTTAAAATCAGGGCCAGGAGTAGAAAGGAGGCATTTCTCATATTACCTGGAAAAAAAAAGTCAGTGGCGCACAAATGAACTGAAAGCAATTAATCATTTTGCTAAAAAAAAAAGGATTCTGAATTAGTTGTAACCTTTAAAGCATCATGAAGGGCACTGAGACCCAAGGCAATAATAAGCAGCATTAAAAACATGGGATTCTTGCTTTGATATGTGGATTTGTGGAAAATCATGTTGACAATCTCATTAACCTTAAGCATCACAAAAGTAACATGTGTTGGTCCACCAAGCAGCATATTTTACTCTGCCTACAGTCTTTTTGCATATTGAAATAGAAAAGAAACTAGCAGAAAACTTGCAATGTAGGCTGCTGTTTGGCACATTGAAAATTGAACCAGTCTATTCAGTTTTGTATCTCTGAATGAATGACAGTGAAATGCTGCATAAAGGACTAATAGATACAATTTAGCTAATTCTCAGATTGACACAGAAGTATTTGCAAGTACATTATCTCTTCACATTACCACAAAATATGATAATGTCTGAAAATTAATACCATAAGTATATGTAACTGAAAATTCCTAGATGGGTCCTTATCTTTATTCATAACATGCTCTCGCTTTCTTTTTTATTATACACCCAAATTTCTACTACAGGTATGTAAGAATTTCTGCTACATTTCATTAACTCTTTTGAAAATAGTTTCATTGATGTAGACGCAACAAAATCATAGTATCCAGAAGGAAGGATGGGCTTGAACAGGCATCTTATTGCCTGAAATCAAGAGTCTTTCTAACCCGACATAGAGGTAGTCCTTGCCTTACAACCATTCACTTAGTGCCCGGAGTTACAATGACATTGAGAAAACTGACGTATGACCATTTTTCACTCTTATAACTATTGCAGCACCCCAATGGTCATGTGATCAAAATTCAGTCACTTGAGAACTGGCCTGTATTTATGAAGGTTGCAGTGTCCCAGGATCATATGACCACTATTTGTAACCTTCTGACAAGCAAAGTCAATTGGGAACCAGATTCACTTAGCAACTGTGTTACTAACTTAACAACTACAGTGATTGAGTTAACAATTGTGGTAAGAAAGGTCATGAAAATTGGGCAAAATTCACATCAGCTGTCTTGCTTAGCAACAGAAATTTTGAACTCAATTGTGGTTGTAAATCAGACTACCTGCACATTATTGAAAAACAAGAAATAAGACAAGAGTGTCCCCATTCTGTTCCCAGCATTTGGTATTCAGATATATTACCTCAAACTGTGAAGTTTCTACACATTTCTAATGAAAAAACCTTGAACAATAAGCTAGCTTCCTCTTAATTGTAAAATTTCACGATCATTTGGGGTTGAGAATAGAATTAATTTCTAAATTATCCAGCTTAACTTCTACATTCTAGAAATACTGCCTTCAATATATTAATTTAGTTTGTCTACCCTTTATTTTTATTGGGGATTCTTTTCATAATCTAAAGTAAACCATTCTTTCAAGATTAAACCATTCTTTCTCATTCAAGACTGT